GGGACGATGACCCATCAAGAGTTCTGCGGGGCATCGGCCACTGACGGGGTTAGGCAACGTCTGATGGGTCAGGAGAAAGTGTGTGAGACAAAACTCCCAGTCTCTGTGTGAGATCCGGCTGAGTGCTTCTTTCGTGGTGCGCACCATTCGCTCCACTTGCCCGTTGGTCATGGGGTGGAAGGGCGCTGACCTCACATGATGGATGAGGTTCCTCTGTAGGAAGTCCTGGAAGTCCGCCGACATAAATGCTGCCCAGTTGTTGGAGACAATGGTGTCCGGCAGTCCATGAGTTGAAAATATTCGGTGCAGCGCCCGGATGACGACCTTTGTTGATGTGGTGGATACTGGGCTGACCTCCAACCATTTGGAGTAGGAGTCTACCGTGACCAAGAAGATCAGTCCTTGGAACGGCCCGGCAAAGTCTATGTGGAGCCGGGACCATGGCTTCCGGGTGGACTCCCACTGCTGGGTGGGGGCACTTGGTGGATTTGGGCAGACCGCCTGGCATGTCTGGCACCTTCGCACCCACGACTCAATCTCGTGTCGATCCCTGGCCACCACACGTAACTCTGGGCCAGAGCCTTCATCTGGATGATTCCTGGGTGGGCCTCATGGAGAGCGTTGAGGACCTGATGCCGCAGGGTGCTGGGGACGACCACTCTCCCCAGCCCCACAGGAGACACCCCTTCAGAGCTGACAATTTGTCCCTGCGAGTGGCAAAAGCCATGTACTCTGGGCCCACCGAGAATGCGGGCCACCCCCTCACCACCCAGCCCAAGACCCGGGAGACAATGGGGTCATGGGCTGAGCGGTGGGCAATGTCAGCGGCCTGCAGGAGCGGTTCCGGGAGGCCCTTGAACAAAAGGACCCCAGGGGTGGGACCAGGATTGGCATCCGTGGACGGAAGAGGCAGGTGGCTGAGGGCATCGGCGTGCCCCATAGCATTGCCCGGGCGATGCACCAGGTGGTAATTGTAACCCGCCAGGAAGTGGGACCAGCAAAGGACCCTGGGCAAGAGCACCTGGGGGGTCTGCTTGTCCGCCGCAAAGAGCCCGAGGAGTGGCTTATGGAACGTAACAATTGTGAAGGGGTGCCCATACACAAATTTGTGGAATTTTTTTCCCCCAGCCACAATCGCCAAGCCCTCCCTGTTGATCTGAGCGTAATTCCGCCCGGCGGCCAACAAGGTCCGGGAGTAGTAGGCCACTGGGATCTCTCGGCAGTCAGGGAGGACATGGCCCAAGACCGCGTCCACACCGTAAAGGGAGGAATCACACACGAGAACCACCAGCAGGGACTCGTCAAAATGAGCTAGCACCTCGTTCGTGACACCCCTGTATGCCCTGGCCCCCCGGGGGGGGGGGGGCAGGCCCACAGCGCTGACTTGTCCAGCAGTCTGTGCAGGGGCTCAGCAACCGCCGCCTTGTGGGGCAGAAAGATGTGGTAAAAGTTCAATAGCCCTAAAAATGCCCTAAAAATGCCTTGGTGTTGGGCATCTCTCACAGGATGGAGGCCAGAGGAATCGACCTGGAACCCCAAAAAATCCACCTCCGGGACCCCGAGAAGGCACTTCTCCCTCTTAACTTTAAGGCCTGCCAAGTCGAAGCAGTGGAGGATGGCGCAGAGACAGGAGGCGAAGTTATCTGGGGTGGCCGCGGCGATGAGGAAGTTATCGAAGAATGGCGTCACTTCAGGGAACCCTTTCAACAGAAAGTCCATTAGCTGTTGGAATATCCCCGGGGGGATGCTGACCCCAAACTGCAACCTCTTGACTTTGAGTGCCCCCCTGTGTGTTACTATGGTCTGGGCGGTGGCCGTGGCCTTGTCAACGGGCAGTTGCTGGTAAGCTTGCACAAGATCCAACTTGCCAAAGATCTTGGCCCCAGCTAAGGATGCTAATACTTGACTCACGACGAGGACCGGGTAGGAGTGGTAATGGAGGGCCTTGTTTAAAGTACATTTATAGTCTGCGCAGATGCGGACATCGCCGTTGGGCTTCACGGGGGTTACAATCAGAGTCTCCCACAGCGCATGCAATACGGGTTCAAGGACCCCTTCCACCACCAAGCAGTCAAGTTCCGCGTCAATTTTTGGCCGCTACGTCAGCGGGGCGCTTCGGAACCGCATGCAGATGGGGGCCTCCAGAGGGTCTAGCTGTAGGGAGACTGGGGGCCCCTTATAACAACCCAGAGCCCCATAAAATACCACAGGGAATTCCCCACATACCTCAGCAAAATCCCGCGGTGCACATTGCATAACCCCCCCAACCATGATGCCCAGCGGTGCGAACCAGGCCCGCCCCAAGAGGCTAACCAAATTTCCCTTGACCACAATCAAGTCCAGTGAGCCCACACATCCCCTGTATTTCACCCCGAAAGTCCCCACACCCCAAATTGGAACCGGGTTCTGTTGGAAGTCCACAAGGTTCAAAGGAGAAGGATGCAGGCGGGGGCCCCCATTTGGACAGTCTGTTAAGCGTCTCCACCGATATGATGGATGCCGCTGACCCAGAGTCAACTTCCATTAAGCAGGGGGACCCCTCGATCTGTACTTGGACCTGTATCTTCGGGTCTGTGGACGTGTTAGGAAGGCGTAGTACCTGGAATGAGGGTTGGCTGGTCAGGAGGTAGAGGTCATCTATTTCCACGGTGGTGTTGTAGTGTGCTGAGGTCTGGTGGTGTTGCTGCGGCTGTGGTGGCGGGTTCCGGTTGCCTTTGGACTTGCATACGCGGGCGAGGTGTCCCTGTTTTCCGCACGTGTGGCAGATGGCAGCACAAAACCGGCACGACTTGTGCTCTTGGGCCTCTCCGCAGCTGGCACACGTGGCACATCTGGTGGGGTTTGTGGTGTGCCTGGATGCTCCGGCGGGTCCCGGTGGCTTCCTGCAGGTGGAGGGGTGGACGAGACGGACGTCGTCCTTGTCCGAGTTCTCAGGTGCAGGATCAGGAAGCACCTGGTGGGATGCTACCTGGGGACAGTCTCAGTGGGAGGCCTCGTACGCGATAGCAAGTCGGAGGGAGTCCTCGAGTCTGAGGTCGGTGGTGCCAATCAGCTTGTGGCGGAGTTTTACATTGCTCATTCCCCAGACAAACTGGGTCAAGAAGTTCTCCTCTACCTTGGTGAACCCGCACTCCATTGCATGTTGGCACAGGGGGGCCATGAAAGTGGCAGCCATTTCGCTGGTCTTCTGGGTGTGCCTCTGGAACTCCATCCTCTTGACCATCATCGTTGGCTTGGGTGTGAAATACCTTGTTAAGGCTTCCACGATCTGCTCGTAGGGGCATTCGAGGATAGCCTTAGGGGCCAGGAGGCTCTTTGCAAGCCGGATGGTGGCCATTCTACACAAACTGAGTAGGAGGGCCCTTCTCTTGCTGGCATCTGTTACCTCATGGTAGGCGAGGTAGCAGGTCAACTGGTCTGTCCACGAATCCCAGAACTCAGGATGTGTGGGGTCGAAGATTTTGAGGTGTCCTGGAGCTGTTGCCATGACTCTAGTGCGGTTCAGGAAGCGGTGTCTGGGAAAGCTGGGTGCGGTGCTGCTCAAGAGCGGTGCAGGGCGTGGTGGCTGCCTCTGGATCAGTGCTCGGTTTGGCTGGATGAGGAGTCAAAAAGATAGAGGGGGGTGCAGTATGATATGAATACAAATAGAATAGAACTACTGCAAACTGTGCATATTTCAAACTTGTATTAAATGCAATAACAATATATCAAACTATGTTTTACAGAAAACTGAAGCCATTGTTTATAAATGATGATGGATGGATGACGAACTCCCCCGGAGTTGATATTCGTTTTGAGGCGTCTTTTTCAAACACCAAACCTCATGCGGGCCGATCAGCCTTAACCAGTATGTACTAACCCATTGCTTTATATTCTATTTGAAATGTCACATGCTCTTCACATCAGTGTTGCCTGTATTTGATATTGTGATTGAGAACATCTTATGAATAACACCAAAATGCACAGGAATTAAGGAGAAATCCAATTTGGAAGACTTGTGACCTTGTGGAGACACACTTGCATGAGGTTTGATGTTTGAAAAAGACTCCTCGAAACGAATATCAACTCCGGGGGAGTTCGTCATCCAACCATCATCATTTAAACATTCCCGGCTAATGTAGCCACACCCACTGTACAATAAGCAACCTATGAGGTTGAAGCAATAAGGACCAATCACAAGCGATCCCGCTCTGCACGGTGATTGGCAAACATATTCTGGGCTAGGGCTCCTATTGGTTACATTAGGATCCTAGCCCAGGGCGAAGCTTAACATGGCATCTCAATGGCACAGTTCACAAGGCAGTTATATACATCTCAATACATAACAAATCCCTCCCCCCTAAGCAAAAACACTATGTACAATCATAATCGCTTAGGTACATTGGCGCTCTGCGCGATCTCTGAGACCTGCGTAGCTGTACAGGTTCAGGGCACCTTTCATTCTGGGGAGTATTGCACGACTCTGGGACCTCAGAGTCAGGAGCACTTCCATCACTAGCAATGGGTCTTTGAGTAGGGGTCTGCCCTGGCTCGCGGACAGTACTTGGGCCCTCGGGCACATCAGAACTCACCTCCGGAAGAGGTTGTGGAAGGTCCTCGGAATCAGGTAGCTCGGCAGGTTGCGAGGTGGGGCGGCCAGTCGCCCACCGCTGCCTCAACTGGTCCACATGTCGCCTCCATTTGCGCCCGTCCGCAAGCTGGACTACATACATGCGGGAACCCACTACCTCAGTTACAGTGGCTGGAAGCCACGAATGTCCCCCAGCATAGTTCTTGGCGAACACAGTATCTCCGCACTCGTATGTGCGGACCTTATTGGGAACACTCTGCTGCTGGGGCCTCAAGTCGTTGAGGTCTGGATGCAGCCTATCCAGCAAAGACGCTAGGCGTCGCCCCATCAATAGTTCGGCCGGGCTGCGGCCTGTGGCAGAGCACGGCGTTACGTGTTGCCGTAGAAGGAATGACGCTAGTTTCACTCCCCAATCCCCGGATGTTAGCTTGGCAAGCGCATCCTTGGTCGTGCGGACCATTCGCTCTGCCTGCCCGTTCGATGCTGGGTGGAACGGGGCAGACGTAATTTGCCTGATGCCATTGTTAGCCAGGAATTGAGCAAACTCTTGCGACACGAACTGAGCGCCGTTATCGCTTACCAGGACATCAGGCAACCCATGCGTGGCAATTAAGCGGCGCAACACATTTATAACAGCAGTGGAAGTGGTGGTAGACATTGGCGCCACTTCCAACCATTTCGAAAAAGAGTCCACCACAATCAAAAACATTTGACCCTGTACTGGGCCCGCCAAATCTATGTGCAGCCTCGACCAAGGCTTTCCCGCCGATTCCCATTTCTGTGGGAAGGCGGTTGGCGGTTCGGGTCTCGCCTGCTGGCATGGCGTACACCCCCGTACCCACTCTTCAATGTCAGCATCCATCCCAGGCCACCATACATATCCCCGGGCCAGAGCCTTCATATGCACCATGCCGGGATGGCCCTCGTGTAGTGATTTCAGCACTTTTTCGCGCCAGCGTTGCGGTACAATCACTCTGTTCCCCCACAGCAAACAGCCCTTTGATACCGACATTTCGCTTTCCCGCGTTTTGTACGGTTTGAACTCCGGCTCCAACGTTCCTGCCGGCCACCCCCTCCACACCCAGTTAATAACACGACTGAGCACAGAGTCTTTTGCTGTCGCAGCAGCAATGTCCTTAGCAGACACAGGTGCCTCCGGCAGTTCCTCGATAGCTAGAATGGAGCAAGTAGGAGCAGGGTCCAAGTCCTGGCCGGGCAGAGGGCAGCGGCTGAGCGCATCAGCGTGTCCAATGGCCTTACCCGGCCTGTGCTCCAGGTCGAACTCGTAGGCTGAGAGGAACAAAGCCCACCGCAACATGCGTGCGGACATAACATCAGGGAGTTGCCGGTCCTGGGCAAAAATCCCTAGCAGGGGCTTGTGGTCTGTCACCAGTATGAATCTCCGTCCAAACAAAAAGTCATGAAACTTCTTAACAGCGGAAACTAGCGCCAAAGCCTCTTTGTCAATCTGCGCGTAGTTTCTTTCCGCTGCTGTTAGCGACTTGGAATAAAAGGCGATAGGGGCTTCCCGCCCGTCGGGCATTACGTGGCTCAGCACAGCTCCCACCCCAAATGGGGACGCATCAGCAGCTAACACAAGCAGTTTGTCCTCATCATAATGTGTTAACACTGCATCAGACGACAACAATTTTTTCACCCCATCGAATGCCCGCTCATGCTCTGGACCCCACCTCCATTTTGTGTCTTTATGCAGCAGGTTGTGCAATGGGGCCGCAATCGACGCCTTGTGGGGCAAGAAGGCGTGATAAAAATTAAGGAGTCCTAGGAAGGACTGTAACTCCTTCTTCCCTTGTGGCCGTGGGGCATTCTGGATTGCGGAGACCTTATCGTTAGTAGGATGGACCCCAAACTCATCCACCCGGAACCCCAAGAACTCCACACTCGGGACTCCCACCAGGCACTTCGACTTTTTTACCTTCAGGCCCGCATCAGAAAAACGTTTGAGCACCTCCCGCACTCGGCACAGCAGCTCGTCATCAGATTTGCCCGCTATTAAGACATCGTCAAAATAGGGCACCGTGCCCGGCACCCCCCTCAACAACCCCTCCATGAGGCTCTGAAAAATCCCCGGCGCAACATTCACTCCGAATTGGAGTCGATTTACTCTAAACGCCCCCCTATGCGTTACGATGGTCTGGGCGTCAGCCGCCTCTTTGGTCACGGGGAGTTGTTGGTACGCTTGGGCCAGGTCGAGTTTGGCGAATACCTTCCCTCCTCCCAGTGATGCCAGTACGTGGCTAATGACTGGTACAGGGTACGAATGCTGCTGCAAGGCTTTGTTAATCGTGCACTTGTAGTCAGCGCAAATTCGTATTGACCCATCGGGTTTAATTGGAGTAACAATGGGGGTTTCCCATTTACTACAAGGAACTGGTTCCAACACCCCTTGTTCAAGTAGCTTATCGAGTTCAGCCTCGATCTTTGCCTTGAACGGAATGGGCACTTTCCTGTATTTTAGGCGTATAGGGCGTATAGCAGGATCCAACTCAAAAGACACTGGGGGACCATTATACTTTCCCAATCCGCCCCCAAACACTTCAGGAAATTCAGCATATAATACAGCCCATTTATTTTCCACAACGTTATTAACTCCCACAACAGCAATACCCAGAGGCTCAAACCAGTCCAACCCGAGCAGGTTGGTACGGTTTCCCTCAGCGATCAAACATGAAAGCACAGCACCTTTCCCTTTGAAATTAACTGTGAACGTATCCCTCCCCGCCAGAGGGATTCGATTTCCCTGAAAATCGGACAATCGGATGTCCGCAGCTCGCAACCTCCGCCGACTTCGTGTTGGGAACAGCTTGTGCCACGTCTGCGTAGACAAAACGGTTACCGCCGACCCGGAATCCACTTCCATCTCACACGGTGCGCCGTCGAGATGGAGAACGACGTGGATCTTTTGTCGGCTCTCGGTGCTTAGGACGGTGGCTGTGGCTTCTGACGACAGGCTCCCTGTCATCTGGCGGGTGTCTTCTTTCGGTGCGGCTCGGGGACGTTGGTGCCGGCGGGGAGATGAAGCTGGTGAAGACTTGTTTGCGGCTCTGCATACCCGGGCAACATGCCCCCGCTTTCCGCACTTCCGGCAGTCGAGGTCTCTCGCCCAGCAACGCTCGCGCCGATGTTTCCCGCCGCAACCGTCGCATGCTGTACACTCGGCAGGCTTCCGTTGGGTCCGCTTGGACGTTCCCGCCTTCACTTTGCAGACGTCATCATCGGAGTCGCTGCTTGCGTCGTTAGCCCTCTGCTGGTGGACGCGTTGATCAGCTGTGGCGACCCGTTGTCTCACTTCCCTGGTTGACCTGTCAGCAGCTTCCGCGGCGACAGCCTCGGCATAGGCGATGGCCCACGTTAGTGTAGTTCTTGCGAACAAGCGTTGCTGCAGTCGCTCGTCTCTCAGACCACAAACGAGGCGATCTCGGAGGGCCTCCTCCACATTCGCGAAGTTGCAAGGCCGTGCTGCCTTGCGAAGAGCTGCAACGTACTCAGCTATGGACTCATTTGCGTTCTGGCCCCGCTTGTAAAAAGCGTGCCTGCAGGCGATTTCCGACGGCTGTGGAGAGAAATGTGATTTCAGCTTGTCTGTCAAGCTTTCAAAGGATACGGTTTTGAGGTCATCTGGTGCCACCAGTGACCGGGCGATGTCAAAAACGCTCTTTCCACACGAGCTGAGTAGAGTCGCCCTCTTCTTCTCCTCCGTCGTGATGTCATTCGCCTCCAGATGGAACTCAAACCTTGTGAGGTAAGAGTCCCAGTCTTCAGTAGTCGGGTCGAAGCATTCGAACTTCTGGCTGCTCGCGGCCATCGTTATGCGCACAGGCGGGGCCACCAGAGCGGGTGGAGCCTGTGGCTGGCCGGCCTCGGCGATTTCCTCGTTGTCCGACATGGGGTCTGCTCTAGCGGGGCTGCCTACCCGCACTAGGATCCCATCCTCGTCGCCAATTGTTAAGTCGTGCGCTTAACAAAGAAGTCGGAGAGTGATTCAGCAAGAATGCGGTTTATTCTTCAGCTCTGTTACTTCTCCGAACACGATCGCCAGCCAGAACCCATCATTCGAACCAACACATACACTGGCTGCTCTATATTTAAACATTCCCGGCTAATGTAGCCACACCCACTGTACAATAAGCAACCTATGAGGTTGAAGCAATAAGGACCAATCACAAGCGATCCCGCTCTGCACGGTGATTGGCAAACATATTCTGGGCTAGGGCTCCTATTGGTTACATTAGGATCCTAGCCCAGGGCGAAGCTTAACATGGCATCTCAATGGCACAGTTCACAAGGCAGTTATATACATCTCAATACATAACACTTCACACACTCGGTTCCCATTGGAGGGTTTGAATTTCCTACCAGAGGGCCTATTGGTGGACACAAGGTGGACTAGGATCCTAGGTTCCCTTTGTGTTTGGGACCCAAGCTCCTACTTTATCCACAGACCCCTGGTGGCGGTCCACCTACATAACAGTACCTTTCTTTGCTTCCAGGTATTCTGACTCCCGGCCAAGATGGTTCTTCTTGCGGACAGAGAATCTGCTCTCTCCCACTAAATTTAGCTGGACAGACAAGATTAGAAGAACCAAAATAGGCCACTGCCATTTAATCCAAACTCTACTTTCCAGGGGAGAACTGTCAGATTTAATTAAAAGGACCCCTTTCGGGATTAGAATTTTCAAATATATATCTCGAGAGATTAGTATAATTTGTAGAGCAAAAGTCTGACGCACAATTCCCCGCACAGATGACGAGGGTTTATTTACTCAGAGAACCCGCTTGTTTCAGTCCCGCGGAGAAAGGCTTCCAATTTGTAAATTCCTTCTTAATTTTGGTTCGAACGGGACACGGCGGTGGGAAAGTGGACTGCTGGATTCAGCACTGGAAAAAGGGGAAAACAACAACAGTTGGCCTGGATAACCACATGTGGTTGGGAACCGAGTCTGCAAACTGCGATGCTAAACGTGCGTCCAAGGCATTCCCTTCGTAGGCAATGGAACAGAAAAGTTCGCACGAAGAGCCAGTGAGTGCGGAGGAGCGAAGTGTGTCCCTTTGCATCGATTCACTTACTCCGGAGTAGCCCCACAAGGACCTTTCCAGAGCAAAAGCGTTCAGGATCGCAGCGGACTTTGCAAAACTGTTCCCACATGCCGCAGCTAAACTGCAAACTGCACGCGTCTCGCCGCCCGGCCTTCTCGCGCTCTGCGCGTGTACAGGGCCCCTCTGGCGCACTTCCAACATACTGCCGCCCTCCCTTCAAGTCCCCAAACCGGCGGGGGGGACGGACGCGTGACGCTTCTCCAGCAGCCGCGGAGATTGGAGGCAGCCGTGGGTGGGGGCGGGCATGTATTAATCTTTTCACCTCCATTGGGGATTATTGGCGAGCACTGTAATCTGCGAGCGCAGAGCAAGGAGGGCGCCACGAGATCGCCGAACGCGCCGAAGATCGACAAGTTTGGCCAGGTTCTGCCGGCGCGGAACGGAGGCAGCGGCTGCTCGAACTGGGTCGGGAGCTTGAAGGGCGAGCACGTAAGTTACAGCAGACTTCGCGCCTCGGGAGGGACTGCAGGATCTGCCACAGTCTTCGCCTTTCTATTGCTATTTATAAAGCCGCGACACAGCGCACGGGAGGAGAAACCCAAGAGTGCCAGCTGAAAGCACTCTGCACAACCGAATGCTTGAACTTTTCTTAGCTATGCCGGGCCGGTTCCGTTGCCCCTCTCCCTCTACTTATTACTATGGCTAATACCTGCGTGGGTGGGTTCACGGAGGCTTTGACATCTTGACAGGATGGTAGGAACGGACTGGAGCCTTGCTGGGAAGGATTGACTGCAAAATCCCCCGGTGTCGGGATGACAGGAGTTGCTCTGTACAGAGTGGATGTGAGAAAGCTCTTCCCTTGGGGGCATGGTTCCATGACCTTCTGGTGCTCCTTTCCACCCCAGGCTCTGAATTATTTCCCTTCCTCCCTCTCAC